GCCATGGAGTTGAACGATACCCTCGCCTACATGCATTCAAAACAAAAGTTCAATAAATTGGTGCTGTACGTGGAGTCTTGCTACTCTGGCTCTATGTTTAAAGATGTTCTTCCTTCAAATATGGGAAGTAAGTAGCGTAAATTTCTGGCTGATTCTTGCATCGATCCTGTGAAATAGCATTCTGAATGTCAATCATATATATGGTTTACAGCGGCGTTGACCAGTAAGACAGAACGAAGTTCCGAGCTTGGTCTATTCTTGTTCACCTCGCGAATTGTGTATGAAAGTAGCCCCTGATCCTAAGCAAGAAGCGTTATCCGATGATAGCCTTATGGTTTACAGCGGCGTTGACCAGTAAGACAGATAGCCTTACTCGAATAATTTCGCATCCGCTGCAAAACCTGTTTAATCTGGGCTGAGGTACTCATTGTGTAACCGGTAAAACCCTTGTGATATTTGGCCTTCCTTTGCGGCAAACACCAATGCCAGGTGGATACATTTATTGTAACGTTCAAATGGATGATGGGTCTTTTATAAAAAGTAGACTTCAACCCATCAAAATACAAGTCTAATTATTGTGGCGTGAGTACCTTTCACCGTTCTCGTTAGTGGTATTTTATCAGGGAGTTTCACCATAAAAATCAGTTTATACATTCACATAGTGATTTGTTGATTTTGACAGGCTGACCCAGGAAAGCTCAGATAAATGTCTCGTTCCTGAGAGTGTTTGGCAAGTTTTGCCCAGTATGGGTTCAAGCATTCACTACATTTAAGGGAAATTCAACGACTGTCTCTACCTGATTCGCCACAAGAAGCACTAAAATCAGTATGTTCTGACAACGAAATATCAGTGACCATGTGAGTAGTGTGTTAGGTGTGACGTCTTGCAACTTCATTAATTCTGTGAGTCACAGGATCCGTTCACTGATATTTCACCCCACCATTTCCCACATCTATGATATTGACCTATGCTGTCTGTTGTTTGAACCCCTAAACCTGCAGTCTACGTGACAACATCAGCCAAGGAAGATGAAGTTTCACATGCTATTTTTTGTGTGGACGAGGAAATCGATGCGATGGAGACCGCGTGATTCCCACCGTGACTGTCCTTGAATCGATGTTATTGGAGTTCTTGTTAACATTATCAATTCAGATCGCCTGAGTAATTGCCTGGACCTCTCGTTTCAGTAGGCCAGCACCAAGTATATTCCCTATCCGTTTTGATTCTTTACTTTCGAATATGGCTTTAAATGAACTTTGGGTGCACGCAGGGGGGCGCCGTTGTCGAATACGGATGTTGAAATTGATGATGTGGTTGTTGTTGTTGATGATGATGATGATGATGATGATGATGATGATGAGGATACTGGTGGCTGTCCTGAACGCCTTCGTGTTAATACATCTGTCGAAGTGAATCAATAAGCTAATAATGTTCAGGCTGTCCGTTTCTGTCCAGCTTGTTTGACTAGGTCTCGGATGTGTAGGATTCACGGGTGCATACTTTGGGCTGGCCCTAGGTTCATCATCCATTATAGGTTCCATTGGTTCCGTTATCCTTTCTTTTTCCGCTACAAATAATTCTTAAGGCTTGTATGACAGTGAACCATCAGAGTTCTCCTCAGTTGTTGCTCTCGATGATGATGATAATAATGATGGTGAACACTCCCACAGAGCATCAAATCACCAAGATGTATTGTATGTGCATGTATGGTGTTCAGGAACAGCGAAGAGCGCACTAATTTACCAGCAGTATATGTCGTTGCATACCTCGGTTGTCTTAACTCTAGTCATAGTTTCAGTGTTTTGCCTACAGCGGATTCGTCTTAAAATTGCGTAACCTGATATGTCTGCTTCACATAGCTCCCCTTTGTCATTTTCTCTCACCCGCGCGCAGAAAGACATAAAAAAGCGTACATTGGAGGAGCAATACGAGGAGGTGAAAAGGAATACAAAGTCTAGTCACGTGATGAAATATGGTGAAATGGTGAGTCACAAAATGCCACGGAGAGATTCATTTGGGTCACTTGTGAAAAGTTAAACTGTTATATCACCCAGTGTATTTTTCGAGATGACAGTCGTATTTTGTTACCTGAGAAAGGTGACGGTCAATGTTGAAATAACTTGATTAGGAACTTCAGGTCCCATAGACGTAGTTCAGCAAGGTTGCCAGTCCAGTCATCTATATATATGCCTAGCCATTGTCACTCTTCGAATAACCAAGCAATGGCTTTGGGTACCTTATGATTCATATGTCTCTGTGCTACCGTACAAAACGAAGTTGAATGTTTATGAATTGTTTACAAGTAACTCAGGGGAAGAATAGAATAACATGATGGCTGAAACTTCCATCTGAAAAGTTGACACTCGAGGATTCAGTCAATGGTTGGCCACGTCATGTGATTTTCCGTGACTGAACGATACGTGACTCTGCGTGCTTTTCAAGTGAAAGCCAATCACACTGCTAATCAGTCACTCGTGACTGATCGGATGGTTGCCAGTTGGTAATTGTGTGCCCTGGACCTGCACGGTCAAACATAGGTGATAATACTTGGGATTCGGTGGGTATCAATGACTGATGGCACTGGTGTTTGTGGGACGGTTTCGGAACTCATGTTCCCTGATCGACCGCACCTTTCAACACTAACACGTGAGTATTAAAGTGTGAAACTGCTTCTTCATTGTATGGAACAAGACGCTGTCTTGGTTGATAATGAACTGATAGGTGTCCGTTTATTGTTTATTTCAGGCAATGGGAAGTCTCCCAGTTGGAAAATTCCAAGGTCATTATGATCTACTGATGAACCGAAATGGTGGGGTCATAGCAGTATGTGCTACGCGAATATTCGATATTTTGAATTGTCTATTGGAACAGTTATTACCTATGATACTGGATGTTGAACGAACCAGGTGACCACTTCACATTCCAAAGACAGTCTAAGAAGTTGTCCCCTCAGTCGTCAAAACACCCGACATCCCGGTTATCATCGACAGAGACTGCCAGTTGAGAGCTGACTCAATAATCTCAATTACAATGTCTTTTGATTGAGACAAGAGTTGCCCCTATAAGCCACTACATGTGGTTTCCTGCAAATCTCTAGTTTGATGGACGGAAAGACAGACAAACACAGAGACGGATAGATATATGGCAACCGAGTGACTTTATGTAGTTTCTTCTTAATAGTTAGTAGTCTAGAAAGTCAATTCTTTCAATCGGCAATGACAGAGCTCCTGTTAACAATAAGCGGTGCATAATTTTCTTCTTTGGTTCCAGCCGAATGCTGCGATAGAAAGCCCTCTTGCCAGGCGCATTTGATTTCAAAGACTCGACGCTTTATCCAGGCCGCAACCGAGGAAGAACATGAAACTGCTTGGGGAAAGCTGAACCGTGCGCTTCAGATTTGTAGTTTACTTTTCTTATCCAGTTGATCCAAACAAACGAACTGAATGCAAGATAAAAGATCGTTTTATGTAAGAGTCTATTTGTGTGGTGCAATGGAGTGTGCAGTGGAGCAGGTAAACTTCATCGGTCCGATAATTTAACGGTCATTTCTAAAAGCCACACAAAATCAAACGTGGATTCGTACAGATGTGCAAGAAATCTATAATAGTCTCTCTACTACCTTTCACAATTATTGTCTCGCTTCTTTCAGCTTGGCCACATCGTCAAGGATACGTTTCGTGACTTCGTTGAGCATGTGAAAACCAACCATAAGCCAACGCTAAAGGGCCTGTCCAAGAGGGATGAGCTCATGTGTTTCAAGACAGTATTTGATCAATTCCGGACGCACTGCTTCACAATTCAGCAGGTAAGTTGACTTCGTGATACACGAGATACCAGCGTGTGCAAAATATGCATACATTCCTACCCAAAGCTTTCACCCATGACGTCACGTAAGGCGAGCCTCAGTCTAAAAAATACTGTCAGTTAAACGTCCGGCAAATGAAATTCCGGGGAACATTTGGTCCTAACAGTTCAGTTCAGTTCAGTTCAATTCAGTTTAATTTAACTTCAGTTTAGCTGAATGTAGTTCAGTTGGAACACATCGAGAATTGGATTCTATCCAGCTTAACACAACAACCACGAAAATTTGATAGATTGCTGTTGGACAGGACAGTCGTGAAGAATGTTTACCTTGTTTGTGCAGGGTCCCCGTGTTCAACACCGCCAAGGAATATACTGAAGCATGGTCTGGCCAACAAACCTGGCTGGGATCGTTAACGTTGTTCTTCAAAAACGCACAATTTCTGCGAACACTTCCCGAACAAATCGATGTCCAACCAACAGAANAATTCGTAAGTTTTAACAGAACTGTTGCAGATGAGCCTGTCAGTTAGAGATGAGTGATCAAGTGGTATTCAGGAGCTAGTGGTAGTCCATTTGATTCTCAAGACCATTTATCGTTTTGTTTTCATGCATGAAGAGGATTAATGGAATCATCGCCGTCTGGTGGCCCCAAAATAATCAAACCATTGGTTGTATGTCCGACATTTCTCACTATCCTCCCAATCAGTTTCGCGTCTGATCTTGAAGAGTGATATGAAAGAGACCAGAAAAGTCTGGATGCTATCAGTGTAATTCGCGCCCCACGATGGAGATCGCGTGATTCCCACCGTGACTGTCCTTGAATCGATGTTATTGGAGTTCTTGTTAACATTATCAGTTCAGATCGCCTGAGCAATTGCCTGGACCTCTCGTCTCAGTAGGCCAGCACCAAGTATATTCCCTATCCGTTTTGATTCTTTACTTTCGAATATGGCTTTAAATGAACTTTGGGTGCACGCAGGGGGGCGCCGTTGTCGAATACGGATGTTGAAATTGATGATGTGGTTATTGTTGTTGTTGATGATGATGATGATGATGATGAGGATACTGGTGGCTGTCCTGAACGCCTTCGTGTTAATACATCTGTCGAAGTGAATCAATAAGCTAATAATGTTCAGGCTGTCCGTTTCTATCCAGATTGTCTGACTAGGTCTCGGATGTGTAGGATTCACGGGTGCATACTTTGGGCTGGCCCTAGGTTCATCATCCATTATAGGTTCCATTGGTTCCGTTATCCTTTCTTTTTCCGCTACAAATAATTCTTAAGGCTTGTATGACAGTGAACCATCAGAGTTCTCCTCAGTTGTTGCTCTCGATGATGATGATGATAATGATGGTGAACACTCCCACAGAGCATCAAATCACCAAGATGTATTGTATGTGCATGTATGGTGTTCAGGAACGTCGAATAGCGCACTAATTTATCAGCAGTATATGTCGTTGCATACCTCGGTTGTCTTAACTCTAGTCATAGTTTCAGTGTTTTGCCTACAGCGGATTCGTCTTAAAATTGCGTAACCTGATATGTCTGCTTCACATAGGTCCCCTTTGTCATTTTCTCTCACCCGCGCACAGAAAGACATAAAAAAGCGTACACTGGAGGAACAATACGAGGAGGTGAAAAATAATACAAAGTCTAGTCACGTGATGAAATATGGTGAAATGGTGAGTCACAAAATGCCACGGAGAGATTCATTTGGGTCACTTGTGAAAAGTTAAACTGTTATATCACCCAGTGTATTTTTCGAGATGACAGTCGTATTTTGTTACCTGAGAAAGGTGACGGTCAATGTTGAAATAACTTGATTAGGAACTTCAGGTCCCATAGACGTAGTTCAGCAAGGTTGCCAGTCCAGTCATCTATATATATGCCTAGCCATTGTCACTCTTCGAATAACCAAGCAATGGCTTTGGGTAACTTATGATTCATATGTCTCTGTGCTACCGTACAAAACGAAGTTGAATGTTTATGAATTGTTTACAAGTAACTCAGGGGAAGGATAGATTAACATGATGACTGAAACTTCCATCTGAAAAGTTGACACTCGAGGATTCAGTCAAGGGTTGGCCACGTCATGTGATTTTCCGTGACTGAACGATACGTGACTCTGCGTGCTTTTCAAGTGAAAGCCAATCACACTGCTAATCAGTCACTCGTGACTGATCGGATGGTTGCCAGTTGGTAATTGTGTGCCCTGGACCTGCACGGTCAAACATAGGTGATAATACTTGGGATTCGGTGGGTATCAATGACTGATGGCACTGGTGTTTGTGGGACGGTCTCGGAACTCATGTTCCCTGATCGACCGCACCTTTCAACACTAACACGTGAGTATTAAAGTGTGAAACTGCTTCTTCATTGTATGGAACAAGACGCTGTCTTGGTTGATAATGAACTGATAGGTGTCCGTTTATTGTTTATTTCAGGCAATGAGTAGTCTCCCAGTTGGACAATTCCAAGGTCATTATGATCTACTGATGAACCGGAATGGTGGGGTCATAGCAGTATGTGTTACGCATATATTCGATATTTTGAATTGTCCATTGGAACAGTTATTACCTATGATACTAGATGTTGAACGAACCAGGTGACCACTTCACATTCCAAAGACAGTCTAAGAAGTTGTCCCCTCAGTCGCCAAAACACCCGACATCCCGGTTATCATCGACAGGGACTGCCAGTTGAGAGCTGACTCAATAATCTCAATTACAATGTCTTTTGATTGAGACAAGTGTTGCCCCTATAAGCCACTACATGTGGGTTCCCGCACAGAGACAGATAGATATATGGCAACCGAGTGACTTTATGTAGTTTCTTCTTAATAGTTAGTAGTCTAGAAAGTCAATTCTTTCAATCAGCAATGACAGAGCTCCTGTTAACAATAAGCGGTGCATAATTTTCTTCTTGGTTCCAGCCGAATGCGGTGGGTAGAAAGCCCTCTTGCCAGGCGCATTTGATTTCAAAGACGCGACGCTTGATCCAGGCCGCAACCGAGGAAGAACATGAAACTGCTTGGCGAAAGCTGCACCGTGCGCTTCAGGTTTGTAGTTTACTTTTCTTATCCAGTTGATCTAAACAAAATAACTGAATGCGAGATAAAAGATCGTTTTATGTAAGATTCTATTTGTGTGGTGGGGGTGCAACGGAGCAGGTAAACTTCATCGGTCCGATAATTTAACGGTCATTTCTAAAAGCCACACAAAAATCAAACGTGATTCGTACAGATGTGCAAGAAATCTATAATAGTCTCTCTACTACCTGCCAAATTATTGTCTCGCTTCTTTCAGCTTGGCCACATCGTCAAGGATACGTTTCGTGACTTCGTTGAGCATGTGAAAACCAACCATAAGCCAACGCTAAAGGGCCTGTCCAAGAGGGATGAGCTCATGTGTTTCAAGGCAGTTTTCGATCAATTCCGGACACACTGCTTCACAATTCAGCAGGCAAGTTGACTTCGTGTTACACGAGATACCAGCGTCTGCAAAATATGCATACATTCCTAACCAAAGCTTTCACCCACGACGTCACGTAAGGCGAGCCTCAGTCTAAAAAATACTGTCAGTTAAACGTCCGGCAAATGAAAGGGGAACATTTGGTCCTAACAGTTCAGTTCAGTTCAGTTCAATTCAGTTTAATTTAACTTCAGTTTAGCTGAATGTAGTTCAGTTGGAACACATTGAGAATTGGGTTCTATTCAGCTTAACACAAAGAAAATTTAATAGACTGCTGTTGGACAGACAGTCTTGAAGAGGGTCTTCCTTGTTTGCGCAGGGTCTCGTGTTCAAAACCGCTAAGGAATATACTGAGGCATGATCTGGCCAACAAAACTAGCCGGGAGCGTTTACTTTGTTCTTCAAAACTTACAATTTCGGGGAGCATTTCCCGAACAAAGCGATGTCCAACCAACAGAAAGCAGGAATAATTGGTGCGGTAAAACTTTAGAAAGACATGCTCAAGAGGATACCCATGACTAATGAACTCGGATAAGTTCATATGAATACCGCTGTCTTGCTTTGAGTGTGTAACGTGGTTTCAATGTTTTAACAACCACTTTCAAATCTCTGTTGACTTGAACTCTGGTTATTCTCTATAGGGT